TGAAATAGTTTTAGGAGCTGTTTCAGAGTGATTTTTCCAGTATACTTCCCACATATCCAATTCAGCATAAAGATAACTTGGTTCTGGTAAATCATTATTGTATGTATGAGCAAATTCTTTTACTTTTTTCCTCCACTTCTTGTCAGAGATTAAATTTGATGGTATAATGGCGAAACTATCTAGCAATGTTAAATTTTCTAAAGAAAATAAAGAATCTAACTGTGTTAGAATGTGATCAAGAAAAGAAATCGAACAAGTTACTCGATAATATTCACTAATATCATCTACTTGATGATTACCACATTGTGTTTGTTGTCCACATGTTCTTGGTTTAGATGGCAAGGTATAATTAGTTGCAGCTATGGTAACAGCTTCTTTATACCATTCTGAGTGTGAAATTTCAATAAAGCTCCGAATAGATAAAAGAGTGTTTTTTAAAATTTCCACATCATCACGAGCTTTTGAGAAGTCTTGATCAACTTTTTGCAACGTTTTTGTCAGTGGTCTCGTATACCCTAATAACTTCCTGACTATGATTAAGGTGATGATAAACTTAAACGAACAACATATTGTCACATATGCAGAAGCATCACTGCTGGATTGGTAGTTCCATGTCTCATTTTCTTTAATACAAGTAAGAGATGCAATTATAGCTGGATATAATTCAATAAAAGCTTCATGACCATCAATTCTTTCAATCCACCTGGTTCTACAAACATTTATTGTCTTTTGAAAGGATGATGTCGGACATAGCTCAACAATTTTTGTAGATAGATCTTCTAACCTCTTTGGAGAATTATTAAAAAAATCAGAGACAATCCTAACATGATCCATCATATCTCGAATTGAAGGAATTGCACATGCTTTGGCAACACACGGATTAAGTTGATGGGAATAGCAGTGGATGTATGGAGCTTCAGGAAAATCTTTTAAAATTAATGCTGCTACACCACAAAGACGCCCTGCCATGTTACCAGCCCCATCATAACCTTACCCACGACAATAAGACATTTCTAGACCAAGTTTATGTATACTTTTCTTGATCTTAGTTAATAGCAAAACTCCAGTCAACCCACTATTGCAGGAAACAAATTTTAAAAAATTTTCCTTTACTTTGCAGCATTCATCCACATACCGAACAACTACAGCCATTTTTTCAGTTTGACTAACATCTGAAGCTTCATCTGCTAAAATAGAAAAAAATTTTGCTTTCTTTATTCTGTTTGTCAATAGCAATCGAACAACACCTGCACAAATACCAATCAACTCATTCTGCACTGTCTTTGATCGATAAGTGGCATTTTTAGGACCATTTTTAAAATGGTCACTCAAGATCTTGTCACCGCATAATGCCATCAGATCTAATAAGCATTGGAAATTACCAGCACTATTACATTGCAAAGCAAGATGTTTAGCATCATCTCGATGTCCTCTAAGTGATATATTCTGCCTACAACAAAAAAAGGATTGCACGTGATATTGAAAACAAAATTTGCCGATTTCTAGAAATATTATCAGATAGAAATTTATTGAGTTGCAAATTAATTGGAACGGTTTTTTTACTAATTACTGCTTGGAAATCAAGCATTATTTGTATGGAGGTTTCATGCATTTATGAAGTGTTATTATGTGATATTATTCTTACATTTCCAACTGACCAAAACCGAAATGGATATTCATGAAATAATTGACTAGTTGGAGAAGCCTTTCCAAACAGAACACAAGATATACAGAATAACCCATCATAGTACTTTGAGTAACAGACCCAAAATTTTTTGAACCAAGCAGGGTTACATTTACGACCATTAGTTTTAGGAAAAACATAGTCAGAAGGTGGTATCCATATGTTTAATAGAATATTACGCTTCTCTTGGTTTGATAATTTCCCTACTTTGTCTACAAACAAGCCAATATCAAATTTGTTGCAATCATCTTCTGTTGTTGCATTTTCACAATTTACATTTAATTTTGGAATTACGATTCCTGATATTGGTTTTTCAAATTTATTACTTAAAACTGAAGACGAACTGGATACTGGCAAAGGTTTATTGTTCACAGAAAAAAAATTCTTAATACTCAATGATGGTTTGGTTAAATTAATTTTTTGAACAGCAGAACAAGGTATTTGAAGAAGTGAATTATTTGAAGGGCGTTTATCACCAGTTACAACAATATTTTTTGAAGAATTTAAACTTGTTTGGGTACAAACTAAAATATTTCGAAACTCTGGCTGAGTGCTTATAATAGATACTAAAGGGAAAAAATGATTAGGCTTGAAATAATGCATTTTTCCCATAAGTGTAAGATTGTCTGGAATTTCTTTCTTTGATTCAACATTGTAAAGCAATAAGTAAATTATTTGATAGGGTTCATCAAATTTACTAAAAGTCTGTGGGTACAATGTACTTCTAAATAAATATTCTAAACATGCATCTCCTGTAGTAGGATAAAAGAGTTTCAATGGAATCTGAAATAGAAAAAAAAAAAATAGAAAAATAATAATATCTATATAATAAAACAATAAAATTCAAATCAGTTTAAATGTTAATTTTATACAAATGAGAATATACTTTTAAAACATTTGAGATTAACATCACACAAACTAAAGATGACCAAACACCAGATTGAGAAATATTTAATGCTTCAGCCAAAATAGCATCAACTTTAGACTTTTTAGCTTCAAATGCAGTACATGCAACATTGGATATTCCTAACAAGAAAGCAGATCTTTCTGATCGAAAAACACCACTTAAATGCCCCAGACAAAAAACAGGATGCACAGCAAAAAAATTTGCATTCTTGTATAACTCGATTGCACAAAGCTTCCTAAGAGTTGTTGCTAGCATATTGTTTCCGATTAAAGCAATGGAGACAGCAGAAAATAAACAAATGCCATCTTGAGGAGTTCTGGACATAAGAATAAATTTATATGCAAATACACCCACATACACGCACACAAACATACACACGCCCACACACACACACACACACACACACACATTTTTTGACTATAAATCAAGAAGTTTTTTTGATATAGCAAATCTAGCACTAACTAAAAATTCTAAATATCTATTCATCCATTGCGTTAGTCAGCTGGACACTAAAAAAACTATAACAAAGATTTTACCTGACAGGCACCATTGAACATGTTTCTTCGTTTATAAGTTTATCAGCATACAATCTAGCCAATTGGCTAGATAGTTTGGCCAAACTATTACTTGCTGCAACATCCATAAAACCATCGGCTCCACCAGACAATTTATGTTAATTTATGTTACTTAACTTAATCTGATCAATTAAAGAATGGTTGTTTGCTTTTAACGCTTGATAGAGCTCCATTGCACTCATTTAAAAAAATAATTAACGCAGATTTTTTGATTTAGCCAAGCAGATTTTTGTTTTTTTGCTACACTTGCTACAGGTTCTCGCTTGATGACTTTTAGTCCAAACTTAAAACCTCCTTGTTAATAAAAGGATTGCATATAAATAGGCATAATTTTTATAAAGTATCAGGGGGTATGTATAGAGTAGTTTGAAATAATGACAACCTGACTTTTGCTACAGTTGCTACAGTCGATTTGCCATTTTATTTAACTCCCAGTCCATTTTAAGTTGATACGCTGCGAAATGTTTGACATTCTTTCAAAAATATTTGAGCATGTAAGACAAAACCCAAAAAACTTGGGTTTTTTATTATATTTCTGAATGCAATATTTCCGTAAGATAGTCAACTTGGCTCAGCTACAATTATGAATAAATTTTCGGAGCGCCGCGTCTTCAACCTATCTTGTTAAAATTATATTCTTCTTTTGCATGAAAAAAAATGTATATATCAAATATAAAAAAAAAGAAAAACGACAACTAAGCTGGTTGTAGCAATTGCTACACTTGCTACAGCCTAGATCCGCCCCTGGGTGTAGATCTACACCCATGTAACAAAAATTGTTTTTGAGTACTCTATAGAGTACTCAAAAACAATTTTTGTACTTTTACCTTGTAAAAATATTTACAGATAACAATAATAATATAAATAATAGTAATAGTATGTATGTATACCTATACTTAAGTTTTTTTATCATTAATTTTGGTTGGATCTCAATTGTAAATTTCTGGCGTATAAAAATCGTTTGTCTTTTTTCTTTGTATTTTTGTATAAAAATCGTAAACTGTTTTTAAAAAAATGAAGAGGGGGATAGCAAATTTATCTCGACCCATTTGTTTGCATCTAGTAACGGCCCTGAAGCCATGCTTCCGATAACTTTGTTGTTGTTTCTGTTAATGTTTTTATTTTTGTTTGCTGTTGGAATATTTATCCTAACAGTTGGAAACAAAAAATAGGATAAAATTTTATTATTAATTTATTATTGATAAATTATTTATACTTAATAAATTGTCAAGGTTAATTATTTTATTAATTGTGCAAATTCATTTTCTAATAATTTTTAATAAATTATAAAGTAATCATTCAAAAAAGAACTTTAAATTAGTAAATTAAATAAATTCATTAGGAGAAGTTGATTTTTTGTATATTTATTTACTGTGTTGCAGAAGGTTTTAAAACAATTATTTGTTACTATTATTCATAGATTTTTTTTATAAACGGTTTGAAATGCTCTTAAATTGACTTAGTTTTAAAAATATCAGTTTAACTAAGATTTTAAAGGTTAAATTTATTTTCAAATTGCAATTTGCCGCAAAATGCAATTTGTTAAGCTTGTAACAAAATGCAAATTGCATTTTGTTACAAGCTTAACAAGTGTTCAAGTCTATTAAATAGAGTTGCACACAGCACCTGATTCATGTAGTCTTAAGCCACATTTTAGATGAGCCAATGCAAAGTTACTTATTTATTTTGTATAAAAAGCTATAATTTTTAATAAGGCTAACTAACTAATCAATATAAAAAAAAAGTAAACTGTTCCCTGTTTTGTTTTTAATTAACAGCAAAAAAAAAAAAAAAAAGAAAATCTTTTGGCATAATTTTTCGTTTTTTGGAAATTCTTTTTCTCTAAACTGAACCATCACACAGTCTTCATGCTCCGAATTTTAGTATCAAGTGTCCTCAAGTATTTTAAACATTTTAATCCAACTTTAACTATTACTCAGTCTTCATAACATGAAGTGCTAGTATACCCCCTCAAATTCTGACATCATTAACTACATATGTATGCACTTAATCTAGGATTTATGGAGAAATTGGAAAATGAGTTGACTGAAAGTTGAGTTGGCATTATCTAGATGATGAAATTTGTTTGGATTTTTGTTTTCATATAAAAAATAAGTATAAATCATAATTGACTAAGCAAGATTAACTTATGTTATCTTTCTGTGAAATCTAAATTTTTTTGTATCATTTATCAAATAGTTTCTTTTGTTCAGCTTTTTTTTTTTTTTTTTTGATTTAGTTAAGTTTTATTTTTTATTTAGTGAAAATGAACAAAACATCCGTAAAATTAGTTGCAAAGCGTAAGAGAAAATCAGAAGTTGACAGCCTTTTCGATAATCTTTCATTCATATACTCAGAAAAAAGCTGTAGTCTTCCTAAAATTGACTTGATAAATGCCAAAAATGATGGCATAGAATCACTAAAAACTCATGGTGGCAGAAGATGGTGTTTAGATAGTACATTATATTGTGACAGAGTAATTGATCATAATTCACAAAAGTTTTCAATGGCTATGGAAGATCATTCGCAAGTTAATCAACAAAGTAACAAAGATAAAGAAGATATGTTGTTTAAATGTGTAAAAGCAGATAAGAATATTTTACAAAATAAGAATAAAAAAAACAAAAGAAAATCAGAGATTGATGCTCTATTTGATCATCTTTCATTTATTTACTCAGATAAAAAATCTTGTCTTCCTAAAGAAGACAAGCAAGCAAGAAAACTTCCTAATAAAGAGTTAGTTAATGATGAAAATGATAAAGAATGGAGTTTGTACAATAAAATTGCTCATTCAAGTGAGATTATTGATCATGATACACCCAGAACACCCGAGATCGCTGAGCAATTACAAATAAATAAAATTTTTAATAATGATGCAAATAATAATATTTTATTTGAAGGAAATAAAGTTAAAAGTAAAAATAAAGAAACTTTACAAACTCAATTGATTGGTGGTTCAAAATTAGTGAAAAAAAAGGTGCTTTTTTATTGAATTTTTTTTAGTTGAATTTTATTTTTTCAACTTTGTTTACTTATTTCTATTACTTAATGAAAAAAAAATTTGATAGAGTAATAGTTTAATTATCATTATTAATATTTTAATTAATAATTTGTGACTCATAATATATATAATTATTAAATAATTATATATATATTATGAGTCATAAAGAAATTATCCAACTTGATACAAAGGGGCTGTCTATTAATTACGTCAACAATTTTTTTTGGCAATTTTTACCTTCCCCCTCCCCTTGTCAACAACTTGTCACACTTCCAGTTACCCCTCTATAAAATGGCGTCAACATTCGATAACCCCTCTTCCCTAAAAAAAAAAAAAAAAAATTAAGATGGAAAAAAAAATATTTTAAATTGATAGTTTACAACTGAAACAAAAAAATGGTTCAATGTAAAATGTTTAGAAAATAAAAATGTATTTAAATTTTAACTTATGAACATATTTTTAAAAAAATATAATAATTTAAAATTACAAATGCTTGCTCTGAACAAAAAGTGAGTTAAAGTAAAAAGTATAGAAAAAAAATTTAGACTTTTAACTTATAAACATAATTTCAGTTTAAAAATACAAAGAATTACTCTTAAAAAAAAAGATTAGAGGGTTCACAAAAATGTTTACACGTTTAAATTATAATCATATTTCAAGTTAATAAAGTTCTCACTTTAACATACAAATTTACAGTGAAAGCAAATTATTTTTAATAGAATCTAGAATAACAAAAAAAGCATATAACAAATTGTATAAACCAGGGGTTGGCAACCTTTTAAGCCGAAAGTCACAATATTCAAAGTTTTTCAATTTTTAAAGAGCTACCATTATCTTTATTTTAAAATTATATATATATTTTTGAATTTGTTTTTTAGGTGCCCCAAGATGACCTAACAGTCTTGTCACAGAGCACCGTGGAAGTGCAAGAAGTTTAACCAGAAAGTTCACGCCTCCTTCCTTACCGTGACGCAAAATAGGTTCTAATCTCGTTTCGAACCTGGATCTCCTGCTTATAAAACAAGCGCTCTAACCACTGCGTCACGGTCGCACAAATATTTAAGGATGCGGAGTTCTGAAAAATCTCCGGATTTGAATGTCACAAAAATATTATTTCTTCCTAGTTTTTGGTATCCATGTGCTCTAATAATATAAAAATGGTTATGGACTACTATTGGTAAAAAGTTAAGGCTTTTAGGTTAGAGGAACAATATCATTTTGACCCCAAAGTCCTTAGGTATAATGGCGGCTAGGACTCTGGGACTTTGGGCTTAAACACAATATGTTTCAAGTCATTAAATTTAATGAGTTTTTTTATTTAGCAGATTATAAATCAACCAACAAGTTCAGAGCTTTTAGACACCATAGACCAGTAAAAAATATAATAAAACCGGAGTCTTTTTGGGACTTTGCATCCCGATTATACTAATATTTGTGCATGTCAAGATAATAATATTTTGATGTCAAGATGCAGCTAAAGAACTTCATCTTGACATCGAAAGAATCACAAGAGGCTTGCGAGCTGCATGTTGTACCCCTTGTATAAAAGTTTAAACAATATAATGTAGATATGAATCTTTTTTGTTTGCACAGTAGACAAAATGTTTACTTGTAACGCTATTATTAAAAAATAATAGCGTTACGAGTAAACATTTTGTGTGTAATTATTTAGTTCTGTATGTTGGGTCTTTATAAAGCACAAAACAGTTTTTAAAAATTAGGAATATAAATTATAGGATAGGAATTAAAATACTGAAAGTTCAGTGACTATGTAACACAGGACTTCAAATGCTGCAATATTTTCCTTTTTTTAAATAGTTAAATTTATAAAAAAAAGTAACATGTTTAAAAATAAATAAAGTGTTACAGTTGGTTACAAACATTATTTTTTTTCTCTTAGCTTTGAAATGATTTAATGTGTTTTTAAAAAATCACCATTTGTTGGTTGAAATTGTTTACCTTGATTTAATTATTGCCTTGTAAAAAAGTTTTGATAATTAGCACTTTTAAATAATACGCTAAAAAAACAAAGCTAACTTAAATTAAAATAAACAAACCTTAAATTAAAAGAGAATAAAATTAAAAAAAAAAAAAACTACTACTTTAAGAATATTGTAGTTATTTTGTTTTCGTATATTTAGGGTGCTTTTTTCAGCAACGATATTCAATCCAACCAAAGGAACAAAACAGATGTGTCTGAAATTTAAAAAAATCTATTTATATATTTGTAATGTAACAAATTTTTAAAATAATAATAAGTCACTAATGTTAATGAAATTTTTAAACAATTTTTCATTTTGTATTATATTCTGTATTGCATTGAAAATTAGACAAACTTAAAGAAATAATTTCATCCAAGCTTCTAGTTATATCTCGAGTACTTTATTGCAATGTAATAAAAGGTGTTCATTGAAAAAAATATTCAGATTATAATTTAAGACGAGAAGTAAGAAATGAGTACACAAGCTATTAAAAAATCATTACAAATGATTTATCATGGAAAGATAATAACTAATAAAAAAAATTAATTTTAAAAAACAAAAAAATTTCATACGCATATTTTGTTCCTTGGCTCTCATCCCATATCGTTGCTAATAAAAGCACCCTAAAAATAAGAAAACAAAATAAATAAAATAATCTTTAAGTAATTGCATCTGCGAACAATTTTTTAACTATCCTAATAACTTTTTACTTTTATATTTAGTTGCACCACAAAATTTTATTAAATTTCATGGCACTTATAAACAGCCTAATTTACTTACGTTTTTTAACATTGTGTTGTGTCGAATATATGGATTTCTAAAAAAAAATAAAAAAGTCTTATAGGGGGAGAGGCAGGTTACTGCCCTCATGGCTCTTTATAAAGCCTTCATGGCCCTTCCTCTCACTATGTATCTACTATTCTCTCACTATGTATTTTCTCACTATGTATGTTATTATCCTCTCATTATGTATCTATTAGCCTATTTATTCCTGGAAAAGATTGATATTGCTGTGATAATTTTTTTTACATCTTAGAATAAAGTAAACAATAAATGTTTTAGTTTATTCTGGTTATTCTTGTATTTATTTTGTCATTATTTAAATTTTTTTTTAGTTAAATTTTTGCATTTTTTTAGATTTTATTCTCTTTTCAGTTTGATGATTATTGATTTTAATTTAAGTTTACTTTGTTTTAAACTTATATCAAAACTTGCAAAGAGTAGTGGTCAAGTTGTCAAAACAAAGTATTATAGGTGTAGTCATATAAGGCGTGTGACCGCACACCTTTTATGCGAAGACCTGATGCATGCATACATTCATATATACATACATACATACATACATACATACATACATACATACATACATACATACATATATAAATACATACATACATGTATATATGCATACATACAAGCATACATACATGAAAATATATATATTTTTTGGGTAAACAGCATGTATTTATAATATACTGTTTCCAGTTTAGGATGTTGAGTGCTGGATCTTCTTGACTTAATGCATAGGTTTTGCTTGTGTCTCGGTTTTTATGACTAGGCAACTCATTCTATTATCTCCTGATGAGAGTAAAACTCTAAAACTCAGTTTTATTGTTCTGAAACCAGCTGGTAGTCAGGTTTCCCAAACTCTGTGGTAGCTCTCAGAGAGATTCCATCAACCAAAAATACCAGAGTACTAACAGTGCTGTGTTACGCATAGATGATATCCCTGTTTTGTACTTTTGATGTGCATTGTTGAGGCCACATTTGGAGCCTTTTGTTACGGCTTGAGTTTATTAATACTAATGAGGACTATTGATGAGTGTATTGGGTACCTTTGGACTATTGATGAGTGTATTGGGTACTATCTGTGATTTCAGTCAGGTTCTTTAACCAATTTAAAAAAGACTGAAGTACAAAAAACTACAAAACATATAAAACCATTACCAAGTTCTTTAAATCTATCATTGTTACTTCTATATCTATCAGCAAAACAATTATCCAGAAAACAGACGTCTGTTTATTACTGCTAGGAGCCATTATAAAAAGGTTTTCTAATGCCAAAGACCGTTATTCATCAGGTCATAAAATCTCGTATTTCATCACAAAAATTAGGCTCTCATGACTTCTGGAGAATCTTTAATAGTATCAATAATAAGGGTAAATCTGTAATTCCACCTCTCTTGTATGGTTCAGACTTTGTCACCTCACTTAAAGAAATAGCTGAATTATTTGCTAAGAACTTTTCATCAATGATTGATTCCACTAGTTGCGTTCTACCTGATATAGCCGTCAAACAGGTTGATCCATTTCTTGACATTAGTATCACTCCAGCTTCTGTATCCAAAGTGATTTCCTGCTTAGACTCTTCTACAGCTTGTGGTCCGGACAACATACCTGTTGTAGTCTTACAGAAGTATTCTCCGAAGCTGTCATCTATACTTTCGAAACTATTTAACAAGCGCTTATCAAAGTCTTGCTTTCCAGCCTGCTGAAAAACAGCATCTGTTATCCCTATTTTTAAAAATTCTGGAGAGCGATCTGATTCATCTAACTATTAGTCTTCTTCCTATTATAAGCAAGGTTTTTGAATCTTTAATTAACAAACACTTAATCTCTCATCTTGAATCTAATAATCTACTTTCTGATCGTCAATATAAATTTCGATCTTCGCGTTCTATAGCTGATTTGCTAACAGTAATAACTGATAGGTTTTATCGTGAATTAGATAAAGGTAGAGAGGTATACTGCCGCCCTAAGTAAAAACGCAGTAAACAACAAAAATGACATTCTGAGAAAAAGCCACTTTTAAATTTTGTGTGTATATATTTTTTTAACTTACGGCAAAATGAACTATGGGTTTGATGACTTCGGAATATACCACAATATTTTTATATAGAGCGTTATTACACAGAAAACGATGTTAAAACGTTTGGTGCAATAATCTCGATTTTTCAATTTTTGCGATTACTGCGTTTTTTCTTAGGACGGCAGTATAGGCCGTCGCTCTTGACATTTTAAAAGCGTTTGATAAAGTTTGGCATGCTGGTCTTCTCCATAAGCTTTCTTTTTATGGTGTATCTAAAAACATCTTTAAGATTATTGAATTCTTCCTTTCCAATTGTTGTATAAAAGTTGCTCTTGATAGACAGCACTTTTCTTCTTATTCTGTATCCTCAGGGGTTCCTAAAGGTTGAATCCTTGGCCCATACTCTTTAATTTACATTAACAATCTTCCAGATATTCTCACATCTAAGGGGGCATTGTTTTGCTGATGATACTATCATTTATTCTTGTCATGATAAGAAGCCAACTCTCTCTGATTGCTTGCAGGGGGCATTTGAGCTTGAAAAGGGTCTCACTTCTGCTACAGCACAGGGCTCACAGTGGCTGGTGATATTTAATTCAGATAAATTTTTCTCAGCCAATTGTTATCGCAATAATTTAGATCTTCCTATATTTATAAACGGTAATGTACTTGATGAGTCATCTACCCTTAGTCTTCTAGGAATAACTCTTACTTCTAATCTTCCTTGGAAACCATATATCAAATCCGTTGCAAAATTAGCATCTGCTAGAGTTGCATCTCTTTATCGGGCTTGAAACTTTCTTACTCTGGATTCTATTCTCTATCTCTATAAATCTCAAATCCGGCCTTGTATGGAATACTTTTGCGGAACTTCTAATGATACCCTTTCTCTTTTAGACAAGCTTAAAAAATGCATTGTAAACACAGTTGGACCAGCTCTTGCAGCCAACTCCAACCATTATTACATTGTTGTAATGTTGCTTCTCTTTCTCTTTTCTAGAAATACTATAATGGGCACTGCTCTAAAGAGCTAGTGTCTCTTGTGCCATATACTAAAACTCATTCTCGTGTTACTCGTCATTCAATTAAGTCTTATCCTTTTTCTGTGACTGTTCCTATGTGCTCCAAAAACTCTTATATGTCTAGTTATTTCCCTTGAACATCAGTTCTTTGGAATTCGTTTCCTTCATCTTGCTCTCCTGATTCATATAATTTGCAATCTTTTAAGTTGTCTGTCAATCGTTATCTTGCTCTACAATTTTCATCTTTTCTCTTCCAGTAATTTCTAACTCTAATTAGTGGTTGCTTGCAGCCTTGTTGGAAGCAAAGATGTAAAAAAAAAAAAGTGATAGAGTTGAGTGAAAACAAGAATGAATGACAATGTTTTGCAATTAAACTTTTTATGAATGAATTTGATATTTTAATCTATTTTTATCAGCTGTAAATAAAAACACTGTGAACTATACTGTAGTACTATAGTGTTTATACTACTCAAAGGGCAGATAATTGCAAATAAATAGCAAGATAATTGCAGATAAATAGCAAGTTCCAGCAAAAAACCCTTGCCTTTCTCAAAAAAAAATTAGAGACCAAATTGCCTTTTGTCAAAAATACAAGCACAAAAATACAAGAAGATTGGGAGGATGTAATATTTAGTGACGAATCACTAATCTGCTTTCTACTGTAAAACATTGCCCTAAAATCATGATATGGGGTGCCATTACAGCAAATCAAAGTGGTGGTTTATGGTTTATGCCTCCTAACACCCCAATAAACAGCCATATTTATCTAGAAATACTTAAAAAAAAACTTATATAAAAAAATATTTATGAACATCACAAATACCAACAAGTTTCAATTCATAAAACATTAACCAATGTTTCAAAGATATTATTTTTGTCAATTGTAATTATTACTAATACATTTTGATAAAATAAATGAATAATTTAATAAAAATTGTGTTTTTTTATGCAATGTTCCAAACTTTTGATTGTGACTGTATGTATGTATGTATGTATGTATGTATGTATGTATGTATGTATGTATGTATGTATGTATGTATGTATGTATGTATGTATGTATGTATGTATGTATGTATGTATGTATGTATATATATATATATATATATATATATATATATATATATAAATATACAACTTTTAATGATACTTTTATTAAAATCATTAGCTACTTTACTTAAAAGTGTTTTGCTAATATAAAAACGTTAGTAAAGATAAACGTGTTGAAGTTATTTATTTTCAAGGTAATTAAAAACAATTTTTTAAGCGCATTTGCTAAAACCATGGTTAAATGGTCAAAAAAAAAAATTATTTGCGTGGTCATATATAATTGGTCAAATATATTCATATAAAGACTTGAAATCGCACGCCTTCCTGGCCAAGCCAGGAAGGCGTGCGATTTCAAGTCTTTATATGAATATATTTATATATATATATATATTTATGTATATATATATATATATATATATATATATATATATATATACATATATATATATATATATATATATATATATATATATATATATATATATATATATATACATATATATATATATATATATATATATATATATATATATATATATATATATATATATATATATATATATATGTATATATATATATATATATATACATATATATGCTTTTTATATATATAATGCTTTTTTTTTTTCCAAGTGGAAAATGTTAAAGAATTGAAAAGAAAAGTGTTTGATTGTAGATCAAGAGATGAAGCATGATTGCTTTCTTGTCCATTATTTGAGATGAGGAAAATTAGTTTGTTGTATGCTGGTTGTGAAACCATATAGATCCGTGGTTGAAACCCCACATCCGAAGGAGGCGTGAACTTCCTATTAAATCTTCTTCTGCGGTGCTCTGTAATAAGACCGTAAGGACCTATTGGGCACCTTAAAAAAATAAAGTTTATTATTTTGCTATCACCAGTGTAAAAGGTTTTTGACTTGATCTAGCAAAACTTTAATGAAAATCAAAAGTAGTGGTCCTAAAACATAGTAAAGTGCAGGACTCATAGTTAAGGCTGATGATTTGATCAATAATTTTGGTAAGAAATTGAATTGAGGTTTGTTTAAGACAGTTTGCTTTTAGAGCAATAATTGGGCTTTTAAAAGCAGATATGTGTATGAAAAAGTTATTTCATAACTGTTACTCTGATATATAAAAATTAGAGTAGAAGAGTATAAACATGTTATATTCTTTTTATATTGTTAGAAAAATCTTCGAAAAATGTAATGAAAAAAAAAATCAACATACATACCAAAACATTTTGTGCAATAAGTTAAACACTACAAAACACGTTAAGAATTAAAAATATTAATTTTTATTTTGCTTTATTATTTATGATTGTTTTTCAACTAATTCAATATTATTATTATTATTTTTTATTATTATTTGTTTCTATTTTTATTACTATACTTTCATATAGTTATAAATATATAAAATATATAAATAATACATAAGTGTAAAAATATTATACATTTTGTTCCTAGAATTTTAAAGTTGGAGATGTTGTAATTTGTTATTTCAAATACTTTGGATGGTGGTTTGGAAAAATTATCCAACATAACAAGCGTGCTGCAGAAGGCAATTGTTGGGTATCCTCATTTGGTGACCATAAAATTTTAATGGCAAGTTTTATTATTTTAATGGCTTGACTTACTAAACATGTTTTTATAATTTTTATATATTTTCAAATGAATATAGTGCTTTATTAATTTACCACTTTATATAATTATATTGATTTACCACCACCACCAAAAGACTTTTGTTATAACAGTAACCAAAAAACATGAGCAAAAAAAGATTATTTAAATTATTTAATAATTATAAATTATTATTAATTATAAAATTAATTATAAACTTTTTTTATGATATAATTATGTTTAAGTGTGTTTGCAGGTTGTTGTGTTGACATTTATGTGTTGATAATTAGTTTATTTTTTAAACTACTGTATCCTTTTAATTATAAATATAGTTTATATAGTATATATAAATATTTATAAACTGCATCTAATCAACTCTAAATAAAGTTTTAAATATAATAAACTCAGGGAGAAAAAACGCAATTTATTTTGCTTACTTCCGTGCACTTAGAGCTTAATAAAACCCTGTACACATTTATTTATTTCTAAAGAAAAAGTTTGAATGTAACTCCCTACTTTAGGAAAGAAAATCTCAATATCGTAGATGCACAGATTTACCTAATTGATTATATAAAAATGTTATTAACTTAAACATTAATTGGTCTGGTGTGAAATTTCTCCAAGTGTTTTTTTAAAATATATAGTTATAATAAAGTTTGGACCTTTCCAATAAAAAAACCCTATCCCTTATGTTAATTTGGCAGGCAAGAAATGTTATTTTCATTGAAAGACTTTAAGTCTAGAGGAGCTTTTACCAAAATAATAAAATGCATGTAAGTAAAAAAAAGTATATTTACTGTATATATATTTACTTTATGTATAGCAAAATTAAACTATTTATTTACAAGTTGCAAAATATTAATTATTAGGAAAAAGGAGCTAAATGTAACTTTTTCACTTTAAAAAAACCATTCATTGTTAGCAACAAGAAACTAAATATATCTTTATACCAACAAAATTTATTTACAAACAAAACAATATGAATTCTTATCTATAAAAAAGAACAAAAAAAAAAAATAAAAAATAAATAAAACATCAATTAACAAAACAAATTTTTATTATTTAAAATTACTGTATCTATACAAAATAACAAAACAAAATATAAAAATATATATTTATTAAAAGCATTAAACTACATCTACAATTACCATATTGACTAACTACAAAAGTACTAATTATATATGTAGCGTAATATCTTCCATCATTTTGTACCCTCGTATTTTATTTATGAATTTTAATATGTTCTGAATAATGCTGAAAAATAATTGCAAGATAATCCTTAAATATTTAAATAAAAAAAATGTCATGATAAACAAAAGTAAAGACATAACATGCAAACACTACAAATCAATTTACCTGTTGCTGTTGTTAATGCTGTTACTGCCATGGTAACTGCTACCAATGTTACTGCTGTTTTTTTAATACTAATAAAAAAATACAGATGAAAATGTTTGTTTAAATATAAACAAAAAATATAAAATACCAGCTGTCTGCACTGGTAAAATATGGGTCTTGGTAAGTCTATTTTATACCGACCATTTCTATACTTGTTCTTACTTCAATATTTTTTAGTAGGCAATAGAAAAACTATACGAATTGTATACCTTTTAAAGTTATGAGTAAAAAAATAATTTATAACAAGTTAACTTCAAAAAATTTTTAACACTTCGGTAGTCGTGGCTTAAACCACTATTTAACAGCAGTTCGGATATTAGTACCTGAAATGGGTATCCTAAATAATATTTGTAACACTTGAATTTATCAACACTTGAAATATGTTGATTAATTACAGTTAGTATAAAAAGTTTTTAAATTCTGATTCACTCCTAACAAGGCTGCAAGCAACTGCTATTAAGTTAGGATTTACTAGAAAACAAAGAATAGAGTTATAGAGTTATAAGGAAAAAGTTGACAGACTTAAAAAGTTGAAGGTTGTATGAGTCAGGAAAACATGAAAATAGGAGAGAGTTCCAAAGGGTTAAAGTGCGAGGAAAAGAAACTAGACAAATAAATTTTTTTTACTAGAGATGATAGCTCCTTTGAACAGCTACCATTGATAGTATTTGTAGAAAATAGAAAGAGCTGAAACATTATGACGATGGGAAAGAGGCTCAAGCTTAACAGATAAAGCGGGTCCAACTATGTTTACAATGCGTTTTTGGACCTTGTCAAGAAAAGAAAGAGTATCATTCGAAGAACTTTATATTTGGGCTAGCCAAATATAACAACAGTATTGCATAGAGGGAAGAATAAGAGATTTGTAGAGGTAGAGAATGGAATTAGGAGAAAGAAAATGGTAAGCACCATAAAGAGAAGCAACCTTAGAAGCTAATTTAGCAATTGATTGTATAAATGGTTTCCATAAAAGATCAGTAGTAAATGATAATCCAAGAAGACGTAAAGAAGAGGACTCATTTTTAAGGTTGCTTTTCAATAATATAGGAATGTCAACAGTATTGCGATAGTTGTTTTGCAGTAAATTTGGAATTAGACTTAGAAATATGTGGAATAATGTAGAAAAATAGTAATTGGTAGAAAAATCAAAGTATGTCAAATCTGTTTTGACTTAATGTTCAATACTTTATAACTTCTTATTGTAAAATTGTAAACTTCTATAAAAAAAAAAAAAAAACAGTACAAATTTATAAATTTTTTTTCTTTGTTAAGTTTTTATAAAGTTTTTATTAATTTTTTTCTGGACCATCCGCATCTTATTAGGATCCTTGCCCCCTCACCTGGACCATCCGCAGCTTATTAAATTAATTAAAGCCCTGTTAATTAATTTTGAAGAAAATAAAAGTTTGAATGTAAAATCTTTTTTTAAAAAAAGTTGTCTCTTGCATGTGTGTTAAATGCGCAAACTTAACTAATTACTTAAGCACGTTAATAATATAAGTATCTCTGTTGTGACTGTGCATAAATAAAAATATGGGCAAAATATTTTTACTGCTGTTTTGATGTTTATTGAAATATAAAGCTTTTTTAAAAACTCTCCCCCTTTTGTTTGTTATTGTATATAATATCTTTATATATGTTATGTATATAACATCAATAGAACATTAAAAATGTTTTATTTTGTATTTAAAATAAAATTGAAAAATATTAAAAAAAAAAATTTTAATGTGCAAGCAACAGGATTATATATAAGTATATATAGAACTTCAAAAATATTTTATTTTGTATTTTAAAAAATCGAAAAATCTTAAAATAAAAAAAAATTTAGAAGAGCAAGGATTTAAACCATGGCATTTTACTTCAAAATCTGAAAGATGCTTATTGCTAAGGCAACTATTGCACAAATTAGCAAAAACATAAATAAGTAACAGTAAAAACAAACTTTATATCGTAACCAAAAGGTGAAGTTAATATACCTTAATTAAGAAATAAAAATGGTTTACATAATAAATTTCAATTAATTAAAATTTACTAAGTTAAAACAATATTTAAAAAATGAATAAAGTAAACTGTTCATGGTTGTTAAAGCACCGATAGAACTGAAGAAATAAAATAACAATAATAATAAGTAAACATGTTCATAATACATAATCTTTGCAGTTAAACATGAAAAATAAACGTACCATCTTAAGATGAAAAATAAACCATCTTAAGATCATAAAAGCAAAACTATAAAAATAATTGACATAAAAAAAAAAAAAAAAAAAGAATCAAATTAAAATTAGATTTTTGATTTTGTAAGCAAAATGTAACAAATCTTATTAAATATATGATCCTAGTTAAAAACATTAACCAAGTATTAGGGTTAGCATTTGGCAATGCCAACATAGAATAAGGGTTGGCATTTGGCAATGCCGACCTAAAATTGCTTGAGGTCAGCAAAAAATCCCTGACCTTGTTTCTATGGTTTATGGTAAAACCTTGGTATCAAATATTTTTTGCCAACCTGATGCTGAACTCTAAAAGAATAATCATTTTCATCTAATTCGAGATTTGCCAACATGCTTTTTTAATAATTAAATGAGAAATATTTATAGGGTTAAGTATACTATTTAGAAAAATCACATCAACATTACACTTTAATTTTTTTATGTAACGAAACTATATTTATCAATATATATATTCTATACATCTTTACTAACTTTTTTTAATAATTATTTATTCTAATTTGTATAAAGACAAGAAAAATATATAAACATCTAAAGAAAAAAGGTAAAATACCTAAAGAAAAAAGGTATCTTAAGATGAGATCTCAGCTGATGACACTTTTATTTGAATAAATTATAATATATCTTTTATAATAAATAATAAAATAATACAATATTTCATGATAAAATTGTCAAATGAAATTAAAAAGTTTTTTATTTACAATTTATTTGAAAATTTTGATTAATAAAAATTATAATTTATTAAAATGTAACATACCTGGCAGCTTAATTTCATCATTGTCTTCATATCTAAAGAAAAAAATACAAACTGCAACTTCACAACAACTTAGCAACTAATCAAACAAATGTTATTTTAAAACACAACATAAATAATTGCATAACTTCATCACATTAACATAAATACAAACTAATAAACTAAAAATAAATATTATAAATTAAAACCCCTGACTTGTGATAAACTGTAGCACTAATAAAATTACAAATTAAAATATTCTTATTTGATTTTAAACATTATGAACAAAAAAAAAAATATTGAAATAGAAACAAAACAAACTAAGCATATGGAAAGTTTATAAAAAGTTTGTAAAAGTAAAATAAATTTAATAAAATGTAACCTGTATTCCTTATCACCAATATTGTAATTATCACCACTCTAAAATAATAGTGTACTAAATAATTAGGTTCATATAAAACATAATCAAACATCTAACATAAAGTTATATAAACAAAATATAAAAAGCCACTTATATTTAAAATAATGTCATTGCTTTTTTTAATGTAAACACCCTGTTAAATTTTAATACATTATCTGCAAAATTGAAACTTTTATAATTCTTAACACCTTGAAAATATAAACTTGAGTATTTCTAAAAGAGGCATTACAAAAATTACTATTTATAAATAAACGTATATTCAATAAATATATTATTTATGATATGACAATTTTAATAAGAAATACAGATTTGATAACCTAACCGTGTGCACATTGACAATGCCTCATGCAATTTTAGATTTAAACGCATCAGTTGACTCAAAAAAATTAAACTATAATACTATTTTGATGATTTTCTAAATTGTGTCATTGTTTTGCATTCAGTTTAGAATGTTTAAACGGAAGTAATATGACTGTAAACCCCCAAATTTGCTTATTACCTTGATATTTAATAACTTTATAACTTCCTTTCATCTAAAAAAAAATGTTATATTTTAAGTAAAAAAATTAAGATTTTCAATTATGTTTTGATTTAAAAACATACTTTTTAAGATTTTCTGCTTATAAAGAAGTTATGGTCAGCACAGAGAAAATTAAAATCCTCAACTTATTTTTTTTTTAATTTATTTTATTTTTTAAAATGAAAAACAAAATAGTTCTATAGTTATATAAATATTATATGTACATATAATATTTATTTCCCTTTTTTTTGTTATGTGAACATAACTTAGTTGTAAAAAAACTTAAAATGTAAATCTGGAAACTTTTAACTTTAAGATCTACTGAAGAAACTTTTAACTTTAAGAACTACTAAAAGACTTTTTCTTGCAAGAAACTTGGGTTTAATGGCTGCCATGAGTGTGCCATGTTAATCACTTAGGAATGATTAATTTAGTAAATAAAATTTACTAAATTAACAATTTGTACAATAAATTTAGCAAATATATATATATATATATATATATATATATATATATATATATATATATATATATATATATATATATATATATATATATATATATATATATACACATATATTTACATGTACTAACAGAAAACAAAAAGTCAAAAAACCTTTTAAAAAGTACAAACATTTATCAAATTAAAAACAAAAAAAAAATTTAAATAATTAAAAAAATAATTAGTGTGTACCTTAATAATATACGAAACATAAAAGAAAATGTTAGAAAAAAAGGCATGTTTAGAAATTGAAGGGTTTTCCGGATACATAGTTTAACCAATATCTTTTTTACCTGTGTGATATTAATGTAATATAATTAGTTAGCATTCGACTGTTCTCAATACATTTAAAAAAAAATTGCCTTTAAAAGTTGCCTCTGACATATAAGGAATGGGATTGAATATGTCTTTATTTAGAAATACAAACATTAGCTTTTTACTAATGAAAATAAACACTTTAAAAACACTTTTTTTAAATCTTAGGTCTTTTTGTTGGAATTAAATGAATTACTATCATGGGTTTGTGTATTATATTAAATGAATTATTATTTATATAAAAAAGTTGCTCATTTTTAAATGTAAATAGAACCACCCTCCAAACATATGTCTGATACCACCCGACCATACCTCAAATACTAGTTTTAAAACTAATGAATTAAAGTAAAAAACAATTTTTTTTAATAAATATTGTAAATAAAAAGGTATCTTTAATCAATTAAAAGTTATTAGTTATATTAATCAAATATGATGATACATTGCTCTTCTGGTGTTGGGAAACAAAATCTTGCACTCCCAGTCAATCGCTTCAGTATATTATGATATTTTGCATGTGCTATATTTTTACTTAAATAATGTTTTAATATTATTTAAAATCACATAGCTACTTTAGTTTAAGCTGTACATCAAGTGTCTGGTGCTACCCGACTTTTCCCTAATATCTATAAACTAATCTCTTTAGATTTGATTTAAGGATAAAACTTTTAAGTATGTTTTTTAATTTTTATGTTTTCAGTTTTTTTCTTAAATCACTTTTAGTTTTTATAACTTGTTTAGGTTCCTCTGCACTCATTAAGACACCATTATGATTTTAGTAGCAAGTTCAATCAAACTAAAATGAAAAAACCTTTATATAAAAAAGCAGTTAAAGAATTCTTATCAGAGTTAGCTGAACAAAGTAATTTCAAAATAATGTTTGGTCAGAAAGGGTATCTTAATGAATTACTTGAATGGGGATTAAATGGATTTGCAGCACATGGTATTGTTTATGTTATGATTTATTTGTTTGATTAGTGTTGTTTTTTAAAATTTTTTTTTTACTGCTTTTTTTTATCTCTTTTTTACTGCTTCTTTTTTTTTTCTTTAAAAAAAAAAAGCATTTTTGGTAACAGCCCCAATGACATTATACACCAATGTTTGTTGTTGTTTGAATTTTTTCTTCATTTTTTTATTTTTTATTTTCAATTTTTTATTTTATCATTTACTTTTAGTTCTTTTTTTTTTCCTTTACTATACTTATGATGTTGTAAGCAATTCAATTTGGTAAAAACATTTCATTTGGTGGTAAATTTAATGGTGATTGTATTATTACTGTACTTTTTCAATATCTATATGACATGATATCTTGCAGTTCTATTTTTTCTCTTCATTTTTCAATGTTCTAATATTGAAATTATTTTACATTTTGTATAATCTATTATTTGACAATTTGTATTTATTATCAGTATTTATTATTTAAAATTAAAATTATTATATAACTTATTATATTATTATTATCTTATTGTGTTGTATTTAATATTTTTGTGCCCAAAATTTTGTGGATTATAAATCGCAGTGTTTTAAATCAATAGGTAAAGCAATATTTGTTGTTAAAAATTCAAAATAAAAAACATATCAAAGTAAATTTTGTCATAAAAAACTCAATCATTGTTTTTCTTGTCCTTTTTTTATGTATAATAACCACAAAATATGACACAATTCATTGTTTTTTTTTTGTTTTTTACATGTCTGTGTTAACCACTAAAAAAATCAACCAATTGTATTTCTTCTTGTTTTATAAGTTTCATAAGTGAATTGTTTTTTACTTGTCTGTATTAATTAAGAAATAAGACTCAATTCATTGTGTTTCTTGTTTTTTACTTTTCTGCTTCAACCACAAAATAAGACTCACTTTGTGTATCTTGTCCTTTATATAATAATATTTTTAATATCTATAGTCAAGAATGTGACTACTGGTCTAAGATCTGAATAAGGAACAGCCATATTTAAATTAGTCTCACAAAGAGCAAGCGAATCTACTAAACTTTGCAAGAGACAAGATTCAACTGATGGAAATTTACTTTTAAGATCACAAATATTTGTAAAAGATTGAAACAGTTTAGGTCAAACCACTGCCCACAGGCAAAAAAATGCCCGCAGAGACTTTTTTTAAATGCCCGTTAAACATTTTGGATATTTAGGAGACAACCATCTTGGTAATGTGATACTTCTATCTACCTCAAAAATCAATCCAGACATCAAAAAACTAGTTTCAGATCGTCAAGTTCACCACTCTTAATAATTATATTGCTTTGATACAAATGATTATTATAGTTATTAGTCACCTAAGTTTTTGTAGAAATATTTTTTGCCCTCAAAATTATTAAAAAAATTTTTTTTGCCCGTATCCTAAAAAGTCTGGCCACCTCTGGTTTAGGTAGTGGTGATGAGTTTTTAATTTTTAATATTTATGGGTACTTTGATCACATTTTAAGTTAAAGAGAATAAAAACTTGTACATTTACTGAAAAAAGTTTGGTACAGTAAAAGTATTGTATGACTCAAAACTTACAACTAAAAAATAAAATGTTTATTTTTTTCAGGGCGGGGTGTGGATTTTTTTTAAATACTTTTTTAACAACAAAATCACAAAAAATTTATAAAAATATCTTTTAATAATATTTTTTTTTTTTTTTTTATTAATTAACATCAATCTTTTTGAAACTTGAATAGAAATCCATTAGAATATTTGAATATTATGGAATTAATATTTACCACATAATTTTAAACACCTATGTGGGAACAGAAGGAGGGGGTAAGGGCAGATAAAGCGTAGTCCGCCCTTATACGGATAAGGGCGGACTACGTAAAATAGAATAATAACCGTTATTATGTTGGGAGGTCACTAACAGGTACTTCATTTGGTCTGTCTATCATATCTTTCATTTTGATGTCTAGTTATAATATTATGTGCTATTTTTTTTGGTGGTCGCCCAGGTCCACATGTATAAGATAATATCATGTGAAAATACCTTAAAATACAGAAACTAAATATATAGTTAGTATATATACTTTATTCATGTTAGATTTTATATAATATTATATATCTTAAAACATTGCAAAAAATTACCAAAAAGTAACAAAATGAAAACGCATTTAAAAATGGCAAGTTTGTTTTTATACTAATTTTTGACGCAAAAATAACATTTTATGCGTCGTTCTGTTCTATTTTCCAATAATTAAATGGAACCATAAAAATGTAATTTGTTTTGTTTTTCCCTAAAAAATGACAAATTTTTAAAATTAAAAATACTTTTATTGAATATAAATACAACATTTTCTAAGTGTTGACTTTAATTTGGTAGCGTTTAACATGCATGGTAGAAACTATTAGCTGTAAAAATTTGAATATAAAGAACAAAAAAAAATTTAGATAATTGCATTCTTATGAATAGGTCAATAGCATAGGTATAAATAAGGGTTTCAAAATAAGAATTTGAGTTACAACCTTATTCTATCCTTTTGAAATATTTAAATAAACATACTCTAGGGAGCATAAAAACACCCAAACCCATCTTTTAGTGGTTTAGGATCAAATTATATTGTTTTTGTTTTAAAAAACATTTACTTGGTGCCTAAGAGTACTCGTCAGTTTTTTCTTATTCACTTGGTTTTCATTTACTTAGTGCTCATTTTGCATTCACTTGGTGCCAGTTTTCTCTTATCTGGGGATTCCTTTTTAGAAATGCCGCAAAAAAATAAAATAATAATAGAACCAAAAAAAGCAATTGTATTAGGGGTCTTCCATAAAGTATGTACACAGGAATGGGAAGAGTGTGGGTTACCTAAAAACATACAAATGCATAAAAAGGAAGGAGAGGTTTAAAACAAAAGTACATGTATGGCTAAATCAGCAACTAGGCTGCAAGCAACCACTAATTAGACTTGGAAGTTACTGGAAGTGAAAAGATGAAGATTGTAGAGCAAGATAACAATTGAAAGATAACTTAAAAGATTGCAAATAATATAAATCAGGAAAGGAAGATGAAGGAAGGGAATTCCAAAGAACTGATGTTTGAGGAAAAAAACTAAACGAATAAGAGTTTTTGGAGCACTTAAGAACAGTCACAGAAGAAGGATGAGACTTAATGGAATGACAAGTAACGAGAAAGAAATTTAGTAGATGGCACAAGAGATGCTAGCTCCTTAGAGCAGTGCCCATTATAGTATTTGTAGAAAAAATAAAGAGAAGCAACATTACGACGATGTGATAATGGTTGGAGGTTGGCTGCAAGAGTAGGTTTACAATGCGTTTTTGCACCTTGTCTAAAACAGAAAGGGCATCATTAAAAGGTAGATGACTCATTAAGTACATTACTGTTCATAAATATAGGAAAGTCTAAATTATTGCGATAATGATTGGCTGAAAAAATTGAGTTTTATCTGAATTAAAGTTCTCCAGCCACTGCGAGCCCCATACTGTAACAGTAGTGAGATCCTTTTAAAACTCAAATGTACCCTCCAAGCAATCAGAGATTGTTGGCTTCTTATCATGACAATAATAAATGGTAGTATCATCAGCAAACAATGCCACCTTAGATGAAAGAATTTCTGGAAGATTGTTAATATAAATTAAAAAGAGTATAGGGTCAAGGATTGAACCTTGAGGAACCCCTAAAGTGACAGAATAAGAAGAAGAGTGCTGTCCATTGAGGATAACTTTTATACTATGATTGGATAGGAAGGATTCAATAATCTTTAAGATGTTACCAGATACACTGAAAAAAAAAAGGCTTATGGAGAAGACCAGCATGTCAAACTTAAATCTAACGCTTTAGAAATTTCAAGAGAGATGGCCTTAACTTCTCCACCTTTATCAGCCATAAAATAAGAATATCGAATTCCATATTGATGATCAGAAAGTACGTTATTAGATTCAAGATGAGAGATCAAGTATTTGTTAATTAAAGATTCAAAATAGGTGCTTAAAGATATATATTAAGGCATTAATAAAAACTATTAAAAATAAAATTCAATCAGTTTAAGTTAAGTTATTGAAAAGAAAGGATGTGTTCAAAGTTTTAGGGCCTATTTATACTTTATTATGTTTTTCTATAAATAAAAACAAAGAGTTGTTGTTAAATCAAAATTTTTTTAACTAATAGTTTTGGAAATGTTTCTAATAGAAATGATTACAAAAGTAGTTCTTTCGATATGTTTTTTGAGTTTTTAGAAGAAATTTGTTTACAACCTTGACATATTCATTTCTTCTTTAATTTAAGCATTTTAAATGAAATTTGATTGTTTGTTTGAAAAGCGTTTGCCATCTTCTTTTCCATTACAATAAGGGACTTCTACACTTATATTTAAAGATATTTTGTGTTCAACACTTAACTACTAGCAGTGGGAGTATTACATATTTAAACTTTATTTCATACTCTTTAATAATCTTTTGCCATAACTTTTCATAAAGGAAAATGTGTTCTATAGAATAATCTTTTTAGTGTAAATAAAAAAATCTCAATAATTTATTTTGCATGTTTATCTGAGTTTGGATTTTATAGTAATATAAATATATATGTGTATATATGTATAAATAAATAAATAAATACACGGGTTTACCCACAACTACTGTGTTTTGCCCAAATAAATAGTAAGCTGGCAAAACACTTGCTCAGCTGTGCAATAAATTATTATATTACTTTATAATTTTTAGTATTCTAGAGTTTTCTGGTGGAATAGTTTGCTATTCACCATTAAATATTCACCAAAACATATCCATAACTTTTTATTCTTGGATAAAACTGTTCTGTGAGTGTAACATATTAACAACTTCATTTTCATTATACTCTCTAGGTAAACCACTGATAATACTTTTTTGCATGTTCAATTGATATGATTTTACTTTTATTTGATTGTTCATTTTAGGAGAGCTTTTCAACGCTCTTGCACTCATTTCTTTCCGCCAAGGCCTGTATATATATATATATATATATATATA